AACGTTTCTCACAACGAATCCCAACAATTTTAAAAAAGTTTACGTTCGTCGTACTGAGCCTCTTGAATGGTGATGTTTTCCCAATTTTCGTTGTTCTCTCAATCACTCGCTGTTCATTCAACACGAGCATTTCCTCGCACCACGTCGCCGCAAGTGCAATCTGATGGTAATCTCCTCTCCGCGAAAATCGATCAATCGTCCGTCTTGATCCACCACACGCAAGGTGATATCGGTAACGCTCCTCGCGATGACCGGAAGGTAAATGATTTGCGCCGGTGTTTCCGAGACTTTATATCCCGGAGGTACGTTCGGTGAAAATTCATGTATCGTGTGCACCGACCTGTCGTTGGCGTACGCACCCGTGGTTATGCTGCATTCCACTCGAATAATGTTTACGTTGACGATGTTTACCGAAGAATCTGATTCGTGCAACTTTTTCGGTTCTAGTTGCGACGTGAACTAGCCTCGGAATCACGCCAGATCCGAGGGAGCACGCCCAATGGAAATCGGTAGCTCGCGGTATCGGCAATAAATGCTCGATTTGGTAACTTACGGTATCGGAAACAAATGCTGGATTCGGTAACTCGCGGTACTCCACGCTCGTCGGGAGCAAGGTAACTCGCGAAATCGGCAATAACTGCACGATTCGGTAACTCGCGGTACTCCACAAAATTCGGGAGCAAGGTAACTCACGCGATATCGGTAACCGGAAATGGGCGCCAGGTGCGAGTAATCGCACCGCGGTATCGGTAACTTAAACAGTTCTCAAAATTGCTCGGCCGCTCCCCGCTCAGTATATGGCAGAGGGGCGCAGTTCTTTTACTTAACGTTAGATATCTGGAGTGAGAGGCTAACGCAAGGATAACTCAATAATTAACAGTTAACAATGGTGTATTTCAGTGATTTAGTTTACAAGGGTAAAGATGCTTAAACTATTCGGCCGGAGCCGATACGGCGGAAATAGGTTGATACGATGGTAGGGCCCTTCGCCCTATAAATTCGGTAACGAGAATCGAGTTCGATGCCTACATCAAATCTCGGGAACGCGATGGCGATAATTCGCCGCTGATCCGACTATATACAGCCAACGAAGGACTTATGTTTTGATTATCTGATACGGCCGCTGAAGGCCAAATAAATATACTCTAAACGACGGTAACCTAACGGCCAGAAATGAAATGCCGCGGAACGGCTATTTTTCGCGGGTTTTCCCGTTCTCGCCGAGACGCTAACTTTACGGTAACCGCAATCTCGCGGAGAACGTTCCCGAACCAAAATCCGCCCGCGGACATTCACCCACGGTACTTCCGGTACGGTAGTAAGTAACGGAACGACGGTAGCAATCGGTATCTTCAAAAGAACGGTAACGGTAGAACGGTACGGTAACGAAACGAACGACAAACGAAACGGCAACGAGAAGAGACTGTCGGCGCTTAATTCTCGCAAGACGGAGAGACTCTTACGCGGTATCCGGAGCCGGCTGGACATGCGGTAACTGAGCGTAATTGAGCGCTCACGGTATCAAGACTTGGTTAGTTGTGAGATACACAAAATACAGAACAAACTCACGCTACCAGCCATAACCGGACGGAACTCTATGGCTACCCGAGAGGCGGCTTACAATGAGTGAACGTCTTCGGCGTCTTCTGCGTCGTCAGGCTGAGTCCTTGGTATCGTCCTCGCGCACTTGCGGCACACCGAACAGTGGCTCTTCTCGGCTCTGCACGTAGGTCCTCTCCAAGTCCGCGTCGCCTTCCTGCGCATCCTGCCGATTTTCCGAAAAGGGGGGCCCCTGAGAACCGCCCACAGTTCATCCAGGGCGCCCCCCTCCGCTCTCTGTGGTTTCCTCAAATCTTTCGGCCGTTAACGTGTCGATGAGTCGATGTTCCCGGAAGAGACTGGTTAGGCTGGCCGGGCCATACTCCGGTCCTTCCGGGTGCAGCATCTTCGGGGTCCCCGGAGCCGTCTGCAGCCGGGCGAGGTCCGCTGCTGTGTGTTTCTGCGTTTCTTAGACTCTGTGGCTGAAACCAAAGCGGAGTTAGATAGGGCTTGGATGGCGGAGGCGACGGGATCGCGGTACCTGACCTTATGCTGTGGGGTCACTGACGCGTGACACCCGTCGATGATCCCCCGGCGTCTGGTCTTCCTGGCGATGCTGCATCTTCGCCCTGAGGCACAAAACACGCAACGCCGCCCGCACGGGGTCTCGCCTTACAATTTAAAAAACGATATTAACGACATAAAACGGGAATGACAATACAAACAACGCGTAAAAATTGTGGAGTCTCGCGGGTTGCTCTCTCCACGCGAGGAGCAACACCTGGACTCTTTGCTCCCTCGGCCGGGCTATCGCCCTTGTGACGGCGCTCGAAAAGCGTCACGTCACAAGTTTTTAAATTCTTTAATTTTTGACAATTGTACAAATTCTAAAGCGGCGGCAGTTGAAGAACTTAAAGTCTGTACTGCAAGTTTTACTTTCATAGTATTAGCCTTATAATTTATATGCGCAGAATTAATTCTATTTGCAAATTTTAAATTCAGTTCTAATTGAAGTTGATGTAAATGTGTTATGTGATTCCAACTGATCTCTGCAGTCAAAGATTTAAAAATTTTTAAATCTTCCAACGCGTTTCGAGCAAGTTTTACACTGTGGCATGTATCGGGTACGAAGTGTACATCGTAATCAGAGCTCGGATGTTTAAATGTTGTTTTTAAATTGCAATAATTTGTCGTAAATAAATTGCACCCTAATAAGTTCATTGTTGAGTAATTTACACCAGTATTACT